CAACGTTCAGCTGTGTAGTAACAAGCATTAAAGACTCTCTCTTTATGGTATGCTCAACGTGTGCTCACAGGTTTTGACGCAGGACACGCCATTATGGATAGCGGTTTGTGGGCAGTTTCCTTCGATGTGAAGCTGCATAGCGTAACCACATACACTAGTTTACTAGTGGCCAGTACTCTGCTGACTTCAGTGTAATCAAATACACTAGCTTCGTTTCTAATAGCCTACACGCTCCTTCCTTTTGAGGATTGGGGGTTCACTCAATAAAGCGTGACCTCTTTATGCGGAATCTGAAACTTTGTACGCGTTACAGCCAAAATAAGAAGCTAATACAGCCGTTAGCTCGGTTTAATCTGCGTGGAATTCAGCCACACCATATCAAGCTGTAATATCGATACGGCTCTGAATGCATGTTGGGGACAGCAATGACCGCAAACTGAATAGAACCCCCGAAGCGCTAATGTTCTGATGAAGTGTTCGGATTTAAAATCCTTGTCTTTATCTCGATAACCATGCATTGTCACTCTGGATAATGTCTTAGGCGTCAGGTCCTCAAGGGTGACTTTTAAGGCTCCCGCGTATACTTCTTCCCTCCTGTTGCGATTTAAAATAAAGGCTCTGCATATGATGTATTTTGCAGGCATATGGTTTCACTTAGCCTACAGTATGTTAAGACCGAGCTTCTAAGATGATGACATGAGTACCAGTAGGGAAACGAAACTTTAGGGTACAATACGTCATGTGTGGTTTACTAGGTTCAAGGAACGGAGAGTCGAGAGATGGTTAGAGATAGTCATTATATCACGGCCATCTTCTCATGACTTCAAGTCTTTTGATGCCTTCGAAGCTGAAACTCCACCCAAAGATCAAAAAGATCCCTGGAAGGAAACTTTATTCATTTTCCTTCTCTTTTAATAACCAAGTACAAAGAGCAGCATCACATAGAAGCCCACATTAGCAGCATTGGCATTTTGAATGGCTGAGTGATTAGGAAAAGCTAAATGCGACGTCAACACGTCATTCTCAATGTCCCTCTCCGGTTTTTTTCAAAATTCCAAGCTGACAAACCTGATTAATATGCACTTTCTCCGTTGATGTTGAGGTTGCAATGAGTAGTTACTAAAAAGGTAATGCAAACGTCAGCCGACACGTA